GGCCTGACGATTGTTTTTACACATTACTGTGCGATCTAATACTTGTTTAATATTTACCAAGCATAATTTAATTCAAATGTCCACTTAATCTTTAATATTTGGCCATTTCTTTACGACAGAAATGCTATAGCCACTGCAATTTAATGAATATGTGGACATCAAAAGGTGTAAACTCAGAGTGAGGGTTTGAGCATTTATTTTGAAACCGCGAGATGATGTAGGCTATTCTCCTGTGTTTGCGTGGATTTATAAATTATTTAACTTAGAAATCTGATGAAATGGCGCACGTTGCGTTCCCAGATGAACGTTATAATAAAACAAACTCACAACAACATGCAGAGATGGAGTTTGAGCCGCTCCACACATGTAAATGATAACAGTTCCTGTGGAACAGCACTTACTGTGAACGGAGCCGCTGTGAGACGCACGTGCGTAACATACACGCCTATAACTGCATCACATATAATTATTTAATTAAATTGTAGTGTTTGTGAACTCACAGTTATGCTTAATTATGATATTTTGATATTTTGTCGGTTAGTCGACGCAAGCAAAATGAAGTCGAGGATTTAAAAAAATCGAATAGCCGAATAGAATCGACGAATCGCGACAGCCCTAATTGCTTTGTTCTTTATGTTTTCTGTACATATGCGTCTTACACAACAATAAGATTGTTATATTCAAACCATCCTGAAAAATGTATATTACGTTTTCCACAAAAAATATTAAGCAGTACAACTGATGCCAGCAGCGTTGATAATAAGAAATTATTTCGGACACTGAAAATTCATGCTGAAAATTTGGCTTTGCCATTGTAAGAATTATTTGCATTTTTAATATTAAATTCTTAAACAGTTATTTTATAATAATAATTTACAATATTACTGTTCTACTATATTTTTGATCAAATAAGAGAGAATAACAGACTACGCTAAAAAAAACGTACCGACTCCAAATGTATAATATTAGTCGTTCTGACCATCAAACAACTTGCGCCACATAAACACGTTTGTGTGACTTCTAACTAAACGAATACAATATTTAAGCTACAACATCATATGGGGTTCATGCATAATGACTCACAGCATTTTGCATACGATATTAAATGAATGCATGTTTTGAAAAAGTGACAGGCGGCGGACACTCCCCCTGACTTCCTCCCGGCTCCCGCTCGTGTCAAATTGCTCGTCCCGCAACTTCCTGTCGCTGTAATTCCTCGTTGCTAACGGAGGCTCTCTATCTTAGCCTAGCAAGCTAACTCCACAAACAGAAAAGAACAACAATACATGTACTTGAAATGAACGTATGATATTACGTTTTTGAATAATACAGCCGTTAAAATGTGAGCGAATAGAGGGCTAATGAATTTCATGAATCAAGTCGTTTCCGTTACATTCAAATATTGTTGTATGTTATAATGCTAGCTCGGGACTCTAGAGATTTGCTTGACGGCAGCTAGCGGGGAGTTACACTGTTTTTTTTTTGTGTCGCTAATATTACATTGTCACCAGACAAGGTCAGATTGTGACTCAACTGCAAAAATTAAAGTTTCTCTTTTGTAGAGCGATATCGATTTGCTTTGACACCTGTTAACTTAGCTAGCGCGGCTAACGTTAGCTTGCGCTCTCCTCACACGGATTCTGCTGGAAATGGTGAGTGTTTCTTGTCTTCTCTGTTTATGTTTACCTTTCAGTTTGGGTTAATAAGATATATTGTTTTTAAATAGCTGCTGGCCCTATTCTTGATATTGATTTGGTCAAAAATAAAATAAAAATATTTTTTTTTATTGAGTCTCTGGCCTTCGAGCTAGCGAATTAGTTTTAGCAAGTGTGTTTGGAAACCAGAGAGCTGCATTCTAGTTACATGACAGCTTGTCAGTTTCTGTGCAGAAAGCTGTGCTAGCATGTCCGCCAGGTAGTCATGGAGATTTCTCAATTTTGTGTGCGAGGCACATTTTTTTCTTTGCCGTTATGTTTTGGCTCTTCAAAAAAAAATTTTTGGTATGCAGTTATGTAGATTACATTATCATTACTCAAAGGTTGCATCACAGAGTGGAAAGTGGTCATCCATTATGTGATCTGAAGAAGTTTTTTTCCTTTTGTATTGCTTTTGATGCAGCTATTGTGGTATTGTTCTTGCTCTGTTATAAAAAGCAATGTTTATTCCACATCATTGTTTCAAATGCAATGCAGAAAGTTTGATCTGATCGTTTTATGTGTTAACAGGTAGACGCCCTCATGTGCCCATGGAAAAGGCGGCTTTCGAGGGGTGGCTGGAGTCAGTTTCTACCACCTTCCTGGCGCTAAGTGACCAGCAGCGCAACCAATCACTGGACCACCTCATCTCACTGAGTGGCGCCGCCCAACTGCGACACCTGTCCAATAGGCTGGAAACGCTCCTGAAGCGGGATTTCCTGCGCCTGCTGCCGTTAGAGCTGGCCTTCTACCTGCTCCGCTGGCTGGACCCCCAAACCCTACTCACCTGCTGTCTGGTGTGCAAGCAGTGGAATAAAGTCATCAATGCCTGTACAGAAGTGTGGCAGAGCTTGTGTCGAGACCTCGGCTGGCTCATCGATGAGTCCATCCAGGATGCGACACACTGGAAAGGTGTTTATCTAAAGGCCAATTTGCGTATGAAGCAGCTAAGGGAGGAGGATGCTTTTGAGACGAGCTCTCTTATTGGACACAGTGCTCGGGTATATGCTCTCTACTACCGGGATGGGCTGCTCTGCACAGGTGCGTTCATTTTATAGTTGTCTTTCCTGGAGGTGTGGTCAGAAGGAGAGATGTTAAAGTAGGACTGCACGATAAATCGAAATAGAATCGAGATCTCGATTCGACAGAAGCTGCGATTGTCAAAGATTGTCATCTTTCAGTGAAGCACGGTTCTGTGATCAGCAGTAAATCTTCATCCGAAGGCCAGAGGGCGCTCTCTCGCTGAAACTCCAAATACGCCTCGCAGAAGAAACCCAGAAAATGCCTATAGCTGCAGCTGAATAATCGCTCAAACTCCAAATACGCCTTGCAGAAGAAACCCAGAAAATGCCTATTGCTGCAGCTGAATAAACAGAAGATTCAACTGCTTTCATTGATTCAACGTGACTAATAAACACACGACTACGGCAATATACGGTTTATCTGAGTCTTTATTATTATAATTTTCATTAAATTAAAGTATATTTATAATGCAATGCCTTTATCACTGCTTAAATACTATGAAATATGTTGCATGCCTTATTCTGTGTAAGAAGTCACCATCTCACAGAAGGATTTATTTCAAACACTTGACTGACGTTATGAATTTTGGAGTACACAGAGCCGTAGTTCACTGTGAAGCTATGCAAACAGCTGTCATTATTGCGAATGATTTTCTTCGATTTCATAATCACGCAATAAAATCGTCTTTAAAATTATTCTGCTCCATCTGAAAGCACGTGATGATGATTTCCTGCTGATTACAGAACCGGCATTACTATCAAAATGCGCATAACAATCGCATTTGATTAATCGTGCAGCCCTATGTTAAAGTCATCATAAAATTCCTAACTCTTATTTCTGAATAAATCTTTTTGATCTTATCGCGAATGATTCATCCTTGCATATGTTTTTGCATTGAGCTCGTTATTTTTAATCCAGTTTCTATAGCTCGATCTTCCAGTGAAGCAACAGATTTCTGTAATCCTTTCCACCACCACCCTTTTTTAAATTGACCTCAAGCTCTCATTCATATCTGCCTCCATCCAATCAACTATCGATGTATACAACCAAGTCCCTGCTACTTCCATTACATGCAATATTAAATGCTATTTTATGAGCTCCTACATGAGCTCAATTTTAATTCTCCAGTGTGGGGATGAATGAGTTATAGTGCTCCTTAATGGATTCATGTATCTCAGGGCCATTAAAAATGATTGATACATGTTAATCTGAAATGAATTGAGTACTTGGTTTGTGTAAAGTTATGTTGGCTTTTTATAGCCTGAACTGAATATGGATGTAGTTTTGTTCTTTTTACAAAGTCATATTTGCTCTCTGGCACCAAAACAACACTTTTTTTGTGAGGGGAAACCAAATTAAATTCAGTAGGTTTACTGGTGAAGCATGGGTAAAATACTTTAGATATTGCTTGTTTTTAATGAAGATCACGTTTGGTCGCGCACTGAACAAAGACGTCCTTCCTCTTAGGTTCTGATGACCTGTCCGCTAAACTATGGGATGTCCGCACAGGGCAGTGCGTCTACGGCATCCAGACCCACACTTGTGCCACTGTCAAGTTTGATGAGCAGAAATTGGTGACTGGGTCTTTTGACAACACCATTGCATGCTGGGAATGGAGCACTGGTGCCAAAATCCAGCAATTCCGAGGACATACTGGAGCGGGTTGGTGTCAAATTCTCCAGAAAGTTGTGTTTTGATTGTGCTATGATTTCTGTTTTGTCAGTGTAGTCCTTCATGGTTGTGTCATAGCATCAAGACATAGCGTATGCATAATCCTAAAGTTTTGCTTTTTTTTGCAGTATTCAGCATAGACTACAACGATGATTTGGACACCCTGGTCAGTGGCTCAGCAGACTTCACTGTTAAAGTCTGGTCCCTGTCTTCAGGAACCTGTGTCAACACTCTTACTGGACACACTGAGTGGGTCACCAAGGTAAGACTCTTGACCAGTTTTCATTGTGCAAAATTGTAGTGTACTATTTAGCAGTTTTTTTTTATTTTAACTCTTTAACTCTGCACCTATACGGTTCATCTGTGCTTGTTTAGGTGCACCTTCAAAAAAGCCTAGTGGAGTCCATGATGCACAGTCCTGGTGACTACATACTACTGAGTGTTGATAAGTATGAAATAAAGGTAATATAAATCGCTTGTGCTAATATTTTTAGTTTAGAGTTTTTCAAATTGTTGGTCATTGTATTAACATAGTATTAACCTAATATCAATATTACTTTTTTTTTTTTTTATCACATATCACAGTTATCATCAAAACCAGTATTTTTTACAGCACCCCTAGTTGCATTGATGTAGTTATGCGAGATTCTGACTTCATATGGATACGATATTTATCTGGTTCTGTTTGTCCATAGGTGTGGCCTATAGGTCGTGAGATCAACTGTAAGTGCTTAAAGACTCTATCCGTGTCAGAAGACCGCAGTGTTTGCTTGCAGCCGCGGTTACAGTTTGATGGCCGGTACATTGTCTGTAGTTCAGACCTGGGCATATACCAGTGGGACTTTGCAAGTTTTGATGTCATCAGGTACATTCATTTCTGCCCCTTAATTGTTTAACCAAGCTACCAGTAACCCTGTTCAATCAACTGTCCTTTAAATGTTTGACTGTTTTATATTAGAGAGCGAACTGTAATCTTTTTTTTTTAAGTTAAAATGAAGAAATGTTCTAAAATATGTGAGATTCTGCACTATTTCTAGACCACAAATCAAATCAGCAAATGTGTGCAACTATATATTGTTTTATCGAAAGATAGGCATTTGTGTTTAATTTACTGATTCTTTCATATTTACAGAGTCATCAAACCACAGCAGGACCCCTCCAGTCTCTCTCTGCTTAGTTTTGGCAAGGTGTTCGCTCTGCTCTTTGACAACCACCACCTCTATGTTATGGACTTGAGGACTGAGGTTACCGTGGGCCGCTGGCCACTGCCAGCCTACCGCAAATCCAAACGTGGCTCTAGTTTCTTACCGGGTGTCACCTCATGGCACAACGGTTTGGACGGCAAGAACGATGCGGGCCTGGTGTTCGCCACTAGCATGCCCGACCATAGCATTCATCTGGTTCTTTGGAGAGAGAACGGGTAGAAAGGCGGATGTGGTGAATACTAGCCCTGTGGTTTGGAAAGCAGGCAGGACTTTAACGAACACAAAAAGAAGAAAAAAGGGTGCTCTCGATTTGAAAAATATTACAGCCAACCAAGTTAGTTAATGCATGGACCAAAGTGTTTTCCCCTCCTCGCCTTTGTTTCCATTCGCATTAGGGATTCACTCTTGCTTCACTCTCTTAGTCGCTTGCAAACCACGCATTCAGCACATTACGATCTATAGAAAAGAAGACCGCTGGAGATTTGTAGTACAGAGCATAGTTTCTCTCCGTAATGTGAACAATCCAAGGTTTTTGTTTGTTGAAGATTTAAGAGAGATTTCCCACTGAACCTCAGAGTTTAGCTCCTTTTGATTTCACACCAGTGAGAGGTATTGAAATGCTAAGGCACCACCAGAGCACAGATCGCTTCACAGCAAGCATGATAAGTAGAGTTGGTGTGTTTTTACAGCACAATCACCAAGATTGACAATGAAGTACTTTTTTTTTTTTTTTTTTTTCCCCAGTGTTACCTTTTCAATTAATTTGCGTTTCTTTACACATCAGGAATTTTGCTTTGGACACAGAAATGTTGCCTTAAATGTATGATTTCCTATTGAAGTAATTGAGTTTGCAGACCTCTGCATCCGTAGACGCTGGCTTGCGCCTCAAACATCTGTGTTGGTCATTTTGCTGAGTCTTGAAAAGGCTCTGATAAAATGCTATCTGAATTAATCAAATGGCTTTTGTATGAAGGTCATTCAGAGGTGGCTTCTCGCTGTTACTGACCCTTGGTTTTATTTTTCATTCAGTTTATTAGTCATGTGCCTTTGTTTTAACATTTAACCATTAGCATTTACAGTGTGTCACATTTTGAATTCCAATCCTCCCTCAGTGACGGAAGAATCAGTTTTATGCTTCTTTTTTTTTTTTAACCTAATGTAACCGACACTGTAAGAATTAGTCTTACTACTATTTAGCCAGAGTAGATCACACAAAAGTGTTTCTTGTGAATCTCATTGAATGTTCATTTTTAATCTTTATTTTTAAAGACTGATCTTATTTTTGCATAACCCAGGCTAACCAGCCGTTGTCACTTTATATAGCTGCTTCTGTAGTTCTGTATATCCCCCTGGAACATAAATCAATATAACTTTATTTTTTTCCAAACCATCACAACAAAGTATTTTGGGTTGATCGTTTAAGGCATTTTTCACCTTCCCCTCACACATTTCTCAAGTCGATAGATACCAGGTAAAATTATGATTAAATATCATTGGGGGTTACTTATGATGTCTGTATGCACTGGTCGTGTGTTACTTCACTGAAATGCAAACCTCACAGACAGTAATGCCATCCATCCATCATTAGCAAAATTCAGGTCTGTTGTTTGTATAACAAAATAACATGCTGTCTTACAAATAAATGACAGTAGCTAATGATAGAAGGTGACTTTCTTTTGTCTCGTGATATTTGTCGTTTTCCTTATGTGGTTTGTGTCAACATAAACTCTATGTAAGTAACAGTCTTCTTATAACCAGAATTACAGGAGGCTTTCTCACGCGAGGAGGATCATGTTTTATTCAGTTTGCACACTAGAGGGCGATGCTGCAACAGATATTTGAGTAAGAGACTGACGAAGGGTCGTCTAAACATACAAGAAAAAAAACTTCTCGTACAAAAACAAAAATCGTAGTCATTTTGTGTTTAACATGAAAAAATAAATCAACCTCGCATGAGGGAGAGTGGATAATGATTTTTCATTTTTGAGTGAACCGTTCCTTTAGTCCTTTAAGAAGTGTGTAACAAAATGACTTAAAGCTTGTATAAATTTCAGTGTCATTCCCACAGTTTGACGATCACCTTCCAATCAGTCTGGTCTCAGTTTCCCTCTTCTAGCTTGATTGTCTCAGCTAATTTATATTCCCCCTCTTCTTTTTCCTTTCTTCGCCCTCTTTTTCTTCCCCCGAGCTCCCCCTCGTGCTCCTCCCCTCAGCCCCTCAAAAATTCATTGGAAGGAGTTAAAGCAGAATAACATGGCATGTCTCTCTCTTATTCCCTCTGTCTCTACCTCTCAGTCTCAGTGCCAGTGCAGAATTAATGGGCCATTTGGGCTAAGCATTATGGCGTAATCCCAAAACTTTCATTCACATCACAATTACTCATTTTGCCATACAATAGACCTTTTTTGTCCATGAACAAACATAGGATAGGAAAATGCTTGATAAATGGTTAGATTGAATTGAACTACGTTTGATAATTCACTTATAAAGATTCCTTGTAAACCGCTTTCTCATACTGTTTATTTAGACTAAGGTGGTTATATCCATTGTTTGGAGAGGGATTCAGACATGTTTATAAAACTAGTTTAATATGCTAAAGCTTAAATAATTTTAAAATGATAAATTAATTTACTTATTTCCATATTTTAGATATGTTTTTGTTATGCTAAAGGAAAATAATTGGTGGGGAATGTTAAAGTTACTTAAAGGTTATGTTGTGTTATTCTGCCAAGTTATTGTTTTTCTTCTTTTTTAAATCTAGAAATGTTTGTTCAGTGACATTCCAGCACTGGAAGGATCAGGAAAAGCTGTTACCCACCGCAAAGGGTGAATTATGAACATATAACGACAGAGATGCAATTGAAAACGAAGCATACCCCTCAAGTGAAAGTAAAATGCTTTATTTTGTTGTTTCAGTGCAGAAGGTCTTCCCATTTCCAAGACCACCCACATGAAGAGATTTATATCAGTATGCATTGAAACCACGAGCAATTACAATGCAAAGGACCACTGATGAGCTCCATATGCTTAAAAATCGCAAATGTCAATGGCAAACACAGCATATTAAGTCTTGATGAGATACATCTCTTCTAATCCTTTTAATGATTTGTGCATGTTTAATTATGAGTGCTCTAAACATATTGAAAAGGCATGTCTGCACTGTTTCTATTGTGGGATGAGAGAACACACACACACATACACACACACACACACGTGTTTATTTTCACCCTGTCCGCAGACCAAACATGATTACAAGTTGCACAGTCAATATTTAGATATTGCGGTTAGGCCCTCAGCCATGCTCTCTATTCTCCTCCCCTCAATGTGTGCATGTCGTCAGACAGGATATTCCCACTTTTACTGAACTGATCTGATTACTGTGGCAATCACTGTAATCATTACAAGACATTTCTGAGATACAGTTGTCAGTGCATGTGTTCTGAGACAACTGGCTTGGTTGCACCTTTAACATCCATGGCCAACATTCCATTGCACAAAATGTTCATTTACAGTGGAGGTTCTTTGATTATTAAAATGTTCTTCACCATACGTAGAAGAACCCAAACTGGTTATTCTATGTAGTGCTCATGTAGATAGGCAATGCCAATTCGAGTTAACCTCATAATTTCCCAATCCCGTTCTCCCCATCATTCCAGTCCTATCTATACAGTGCCTATCAAATTTAAAAGTAAAACAGGCCTATCTCCGTGCCCCTGCAATTATGTCATCTTGAATTTTGTGTAGCTGTAGTTTTTAAATAACTCATTTCTTTTTCTTTTCAATCCTCTCCAACATCAGAAGCATACAGATATTTGCAGATAGGAGATGGTGTACATAAGATTCGGTGGTTCCTTTAGGGGTACAAGAGCTTGTCAGTGCATGGGTCAGGACCCTAAAAGGGACAATATTGTAGCTTAGCTACAACTGATGGACATTAGTAGTAATATGTATGTTCATAGTACTGCTATGTGCCTTTTAGAGGTGATTAAGGTCGTTGCACCCTTAAAGGGATAGTTCATCCAAAAATGATAACTCTGTCATTAATTATTCACCCTCTTGTCGTAATGAACCCGTAAGACCTTCGTTCATCTTCGGAACACAAATAAACATATTTTTGATGAAATCCGAGAGCTTTCTGACCCTGCGGAAACGAAACTACCTCGTTCAAGGCCCAGAAAGGTAGTAAGGACATTGTTAAAATAGTCCATGCGTCATGCACTGAAAAAAAATATTCTAAATTTTTTTTTAATGTAAGTGGTTGCAAACAATTTATTTTAGCTACATTTAATTAAAAAAAATGTTAAAAGCTAGTCAACTAAATTTGTTTATTTAAATGTAGCTAAAATAAATTGATTGCAACCACTTACCTTAAAAAATTTAGTAAATTCAATTAATCATTTTATTTCAGTGTGTACTCTCATGAATGCGCAGCGGAGAATGACACAGAAGAGAAGAATTATTGAATTAAGTTATTTTTGTTTTCTTTGTGCACAAAAAGTATTCTCATAGCTTCATAAAATTGAGGTTGAACCACATGGACTACTTTAGAAATGTCCTTACTACCCTTCTGGGCCTTGAACGTGTCAGTTGCGTTGTTGTCTATATGGAGGGTCAGAAAGCTCTGTGATTTCATCAAAAATATCTTAATTTGTTTTCCAAAAATGAACAAAGGTCTAATGTGTTTGGAACAATCTGAGGGCTAATGACAGCATTTCTCTCATTCCTTTGTTTTAAAGTAACAGCAGTCTTCCAAACCCATTCCTTTGCAATACTGTAATGATCAGGCGAGAAATTAACACAGATGCAATGAAGATATGTAAATATCTCTGAGTTTTGTCTATATTCGTTTACCTATTCAGAAACTCACTGTCATCTGTGTTGATAGTGGTGAGCTACAGGCCCAAACAATTCCCTCTTTCCCTCTTTCCAGCCCTCCACGGACAGACAATGGATCATTCACACTGCCCTGCCTTCATGCCACTGATTGGCTTACGGTAAAAAACATTCAGGCCTCGTGGGAACTTTCCAGCTGAGATGATAATCAGAAGGGGGAGGGAAGGGAGAGAGGGACAGATAAAGGCTACAATAGGCAACAGAGACCTTATTTACATCTCATATCCCCTCCCCAAACAAATCAACAACAACATGGGCCTAATGAGAGGGACCGAGCTGGTGCCATTACACTAGCTGCTAAACTGAAGCTAATGGCTTTACTTCGGTGTTTGTGCATATGTGATGTATACACACTTCCAGTCCAGTTCATGGTACAAAATATTTTTTTTTTGTGTGTGTTGTAATGATCATGAGAGTTGTTACTATTGTACTTTTTATTTGATGAGAAAGTGAACCTTAGAACTTGGTGTTGATTTGTAACATAGTGACCAACAAAACAGCTGCATGTCAGTTTCCAAAAATATGTTATAGTATAAGATGTACAAGAATGTAAAATGATCTACACTACAGTGTGAGCATAAGAGCTCTGCTCAGGACCACCATGAATTCTCTTTTAATCAGCGAACATACTGAGGCTTAATGGGTCAAACCGTCCTGGGACATGAGAGCTATGATGTCAGTTAGCCCACATTGAACACATTTTATTTGCTTTGTGATGAAAAATTGGTAACACTTTGCAGAAATGTTCTCTATGTTAACATTACTTAGCAACAGCTTTAAAAACAAAAAAAATGACAGATGCATATTGATACAGCAATACTGCAACTACACAACTGCAATGAATAAGGTTTTGATAGCATCAAAATGGATGATTCTTTTTTTTATGGAATGTTGCAGTGTTTATTATGAATGATTTATCAGTGCACAACATTTTTTTTTCAAAATAAGGCCCTGCGAGATTGAATCAAAAACATTAGCATGCCAGTCCTCTTAAAACTACGACTCTTCTCTGATGTCGTGTATACATGCACAAAGGTGGGCAATCTGAAAAATTACTTTCTACGATCCATTTAAGTCCTGATTGGACAAAATCAAGTCCCGCTCTGCATTCTGTCATTCGATAATCAACTTCTCTCAGATACATAATAGAGAAATAAAGCACAATTTCCATTTGGACTTCATGCCCAAACTATATGTTATTACTATAAATATATGTGGACTTGAAGTACATCCAACAGCAGTGCTGATGTATATCAGTTTAAAGATAAACTAATTTTTACAATTTTATCAGTGGGAAAGAAGCATGTGGTTCATTTTCAAAGCTCGCAAAAGTCACAGAAATTGCATAAGTGTGTGTTTAGACTATTCAAAACAATGACATCTAAGTAGTGCTGTACTTATTTTGATGTAACAAAATGAGAATCTGGGGTCAATTTTATTCAGCATCCTATTTCAATAAAGGATGAGCAAGTGAAAAATATTCAGCATGTTTGGGGCCTTCCATTTAGATGTATTAGTATTTATAAACTGGTTTCTGGCTAGCAAACAACTAAACATTAAATGGCGATTGTTTCAAAGACGTGATTAAAAGTTTGGTAAATTATTATAAATTATGTTCAAGAAAACAGCGTTACCACTTTGACATCAGCCCTCGGTTCTGTTCTATTCATTTTACAGATGCTTTACTGTTTAAATACTACCAGACCATTACTTTAGGGTCAAGTGCACTTTAGAGGTTGTCTAAGTGAGGACAGCAAAGGGCCAACAA